CATTTGAACGATAGGACTACCGACCGGCCTAGAAGCTGACGAGAGTATTGTGTTGCCTATAGTAACGACTCACCGAGTCAGAGAATATACATCATACCCGCCTACGCAAGTCCACTGCTTGCATGTGCGAGCGCACAAAAGTTTGCGCACAATTTGCTATTGTTTGCGTGAGTGAGTCGACCAGAAGAAACATTTGTGCTGTACACTATGCATTAAAGTGCCGCACAGTTCAGCACACTGGTGGAATCGCATCTTAACAACGTATCTTGTAGACTGGAAAAAATTTCTAAGCACTGCCGCTCTGGTCATAGATAATATATATATTATATATATTGAAGTTGAGTCATTAATTTTCAGATAATGATTGTAGAAGGAAGATAAACCAAAATATGTGTGTAAAAATAAAAAAAAAATTAAAAAAAAATTTTACCTTGTTTTATAAAGTATCCTCCCGACAAGTATTTCAGTGCGGACCTGTATTTGATCGTGAGGTCCCCTGTGAGGTCTTAAGTCACCTGATTCACGAGCCCGTTGTACTACATTAACAAAGGCACGAGGGGTTGGTTGCACTCGATTGGGAAACCGATCCGCATAAACATGTGCCATTTTTTATTTCGTTTGAGCCACGCAACAGACACTATTCACACGCGACTGACACTGACTGTATGTATAACTGAACTGAATAACATAATTGTAAAAACATCGTTCCAAATTCCTTCGCTTTTTTGTTTCCGATGCGATGAACCGATAAGGCGGATTATATCCGTTGTTGCCAAACACGACCACATGATATTATTGAGACAGGGCGGTACTCAAACTTCCAAAGGGCTATAACTTTGTTACTTTAATTTTACCAGAAAAATGGTAAAGGAAAAAAACATTTCTTTTGATCAGATCTACTCACTGTTAAAATAAATGACTCAACTTCGAAGTCACCCTCCCTGTATATATATATATATATATATAAATTCTACTCTCGCAATTGAGATCTCTGAAATTGTAATAAATACGAAGTTGTTGTATGGGGGTAAAAGTGCGCCTAAAAATATGGTACCTAAAAAGAATTACAACTGCAGAGCAGCTGAAGATCCCTCTGAATGAAGCCTTCCAGAAATGCTTCCAATCATGGTATCATCGTTTGGATCTCCATCTGAAGAGACGGATATCAATAAAGCATGTGATCAATTGAATGAGGACTTGAAAAATTTACCATTGACATCTGAGAAGTATTATCAGACACTAAATCCTTCGAAATCAGTGGCGATTCTCTTTGGTAGGAGTAAGGCTTGAAACAGATGCCTAAGGACCGTATCGTCAGTCGTTCCTACAATTGTAGCACGCATTTATGGCCTACTTGATTTTCATAGTCTTTTCTCACTATAAGGCTGAGATATTTCTTGATTTCTACTGTTCCGTGTCAGCGTATAATTGTAGGAAATTTCAGGTTGAAATAACAGATGATATAAATCAAAAGCATGAACAATTTGATGCAAATAGCAATTTGTAACATAACCTCAAAATAGAGAGGTGACACGGCACAGTAGAAAACTATGAAAATCAAGAAGGCCATAAAGGAGTCCTACAATTGTAGGAACGACTGACGATACATGGCCCTAAGTAAAATAAATATTAGCTTAAAACATGAATAAATTATTCTAAAAGATGTAACAAAAATTGCTGTGCATCTGGATTATTCACTCAGGTTCTCGGAACATGTCACATCTGTGTTAAAAAGAGGATACTGCAATCCTAAAATCCTATATAACAGTAGAGTATCCTCACACAGCAATCGAAGAAAATTCTGGTTCAGACTTTAGTTTTGTCACATGCTACTTATGCGGATGTGCTGTTTATGCCATGCTTACGTAAATGCGATGAAGATAAACTTCAAAATGCATGCGTGCGTTTTATTTCGGGAGCTAGGAGGCGAGATCATGTTTCTCAACACTACTTCAGCCTACAACTGTTACGAATGAAATACCAACGGATCTTGCATTCAAGTTGTATGTTTCATAAGATCATCACCAAACAAACTCCTGCTTATCCGTATAAAAAAATTCGTTAGAACAGACGTCCACACTCTCAGCTTGCGTTACAGACATTTAGGGCCGTATCTTCAGTCATTCTTACAGTTGTAGGACGCCTTAATGGCCTCCTTGATGTTCATAGTATTTGCTCTCCTTCAGGAACGCTGGGGTATTTCTAAATTTCTACTGTTCCGTGTCAGCGTCAGTGCTCTCCTTTTGTGTTATGTTATCTTTTTGAATTGCAGCAAATTTCAGGCTGACGAAATCCTAATTATACGACGTCTTTATGACCTCCTTGATCTTTATAGGTTTCTACTCTGTTTCGTGTCAGCGCTCTATTTTGAGGTTATGTCCCAAATATCTATTTCCAACAAATTGTTCATCCTTTTAATTTATATTATCAGTCTGAAATTTCCTACAGTTCAAAAAGAAAACAGCTTATTTACAATAGGAGAGCGTTGACGTTGACACGGTACAGTAGAAATAAAGAAATACTCCAGCTATTCTGAAGCAGAGAAAATATTGAAAATCAAGGAGGCCATAAAGGCGTCCTACAATTGTAGGAACGACTGACAATACGGTCCTTAATTTCTGTTCCTAGATTCTGTACACCGTTTTTCAAAGGTTCTTTTTCTTACCATATGCACGGCTGTATAATAATGTACCGATTTCCTACAGCAGTTTGTCTATGAATTTATTTAAAAAAAACAATGAAGCGTTTTCTATTGGTTGATGGCTGCGCAATATGAAACATACAAAATTTACCTCGTTTTCCTGTGTACACAACAGTTTTTCATTAACTCTTTTTGTATCAAGTTTCTTGTATCACAGTAAGGCCTAGGTGAACAATTATATATATATATATATATATTGAATGGAACAGCGGATTTTTTATACGGTAGTAAGATCCCAATTATGCCATTTGTCAGAAAAACAGCTAGAATTTTTTCAAGTTCTATAATTATTATGAGTGCATCGCTAGCTAAGGATAGCACTTTGCAGGCGATTAACTTAAATTTTATGCAAGCTGAATAATTTGTTCCTGATATTCACGGTATTTCTTTATCACACCTCCTATAATGAAAACAGCACAACACTTTTTGTTGTTGATTGTACTCTGGAAGTTCAAGCGATGTTGCCAAGCTCACGATCGTGTTTACAGAATATTAGGATCAGGGGGTTGAAAGGCGTGAGTGAGGAGACCTTATTCAAACTATTCAGTCCTCGCTATAGTGCACGTCAATTGGTAAATGATTTGCTATTAATTCAAGAAAGGCAATCTAACTAAACGATAACTATGGACACTAAATGTATTTTGATCTACTTTTTCAAGAATTAGCTAAGATTTGAGGCTCTAATTAATAGACATAATTTATGTTATTCGAATAAATGGAAAAGTCGAAGAAATAGGCGTCATCAAAATACAATAATATGCAAATTACATATTACGTAGAATCCAAGGAAGAAGATCAACTGAAAAATCGGTAAGCGTGACAATGTTGTATAGCCATTCTTAGCAGTGTTGCCACACGCGAAATTATGTTCACTTCCCAAAAATGATCTAAGTGCCTGTTTTTGACGATCCCGTCGCAATGCCATACGAAATATGTAAACAGATTGACCTGTGGTACCATGTGCGTGGCTTAACTTTTCTTAAGGGAAATTGCAAACTGTGTAAACCGATGGCACGGGTATAACGTAAAAAACGTAAAGAAAATAAAAAGACGAAAAGTCATCTTGCAGACTACATAAATCAAATTCAAGCGAATAACCAAATGAAAATGGTATTTTCCATTTTGGATTGGTATTTACCGATCCGTTTAAGCGAGTGTGGTTATCAGTTTGGTTATAAGATCCGAGACGTCATGAATCAGCTGTTATATGTCATAGTTATCACCGCAAAATTGTGGTATTTATCCAACTCGGGAGTAGTTTTATATTTCTGGTTATTATTTGAAATGTGGCAAGTTAGAATTTTGCCGGGTATTGGATATTTTTGTTGTACTTCAGCTCCATTTTTGGGAAACTTGATACAGGCTGGCTTCAGTTGTAGCATAAAGTAGAGCACCTTATTAGTTATACTCATTACTGTTGTTGGGGACACTTTAAATCTAGTTTCTAAGCTTAACAGACTATCCTGTGTAGCTATATACCACAAGAATATTAAAATATGGCCATATAAACTCACTGGATAATGTCCACCTGTATACGGTTTTGCTAATATTCTTGTTCATCGCTTTTTCCCATCATTTCTGGTAAATCAATAACTGTTTTCTTTGACATGCGGAAAACTTTGGAGAATTGAAAGTTATCATAGCTACAAAGCCATGGTTCCGTCATTAAAAATTATTTTCGGAAAAACATTTCTCCTATTAATATTATGGTTAAGGTTTCTTTTTTAAACTTTCCATACACTGTTGTAGACGAAAAAGCATCGATTATTAAGTGATAATAAACAACTTGCATAAAAACCGCGGTTAAAACCAACGCGTTCAAGCGATTCGTCTAACTGACTACCATTCGTCATTATTCGTCAGAGCGGTCCGGTGGACCTTTGCTCTTAGTTAAAGGTCTCGTTGGTCTGTTAGTCTGTCAGGTCTGGCTATCCATATAAAGAGTAACTGACGTCATCAACCCGTGTGTCATCTTAAACCATATTATAACCGCGGTACATAACACAGAAATTTTGGTTATTGCTTGGATTTGGTTATAGTTTTTAGTGTGCAAATAGTTCATTCCACGTTTCCTCGCTATGATCGCTGTTGGCTGATATTTAAGCACCACGTACATCGACAAAACGAGTTCACAACAAAGTATACTACAGCTTGTTAACATCTTGCAGAAAAACCTACTTTATGTTACAAAAAACCTACGAACTGTCAAAAAAACGACAAAATGTCACTTTTCAATATACGTAATACCCGCGCTGTAACGCAGCTGATGCTACTCGCTCTTGCACATCAATTATTGGGTGGTAGAGGACTCGTTTTCTCAAAATCCTTTTTACACAGACCGTCGACATTGTAGTTGTATTTTTCGGCACTAACTATGTTTTATATCGAAGATCTACACAGGTAAACACATATCACAAGCCCATGACATGCAAGTTGCCGTACTGACAGTGACAAGCATATAAATGAGTAAGTCTGATATGTTGACGGAAAAATTTTCGTGGCGATCAGATAAAACTAAAAAAAGCATGTATTTTTGAGTTCACACAAACAAACGTCCATGCCGATTGCATATTTATGTATGTGCAACAGGGAGATGGATGTATGAAAGTAGTTCCTTCAGCTTGACTGTGACCCGCCACGAACGGTAAAAAGACCTATACCAGATTTTTCACATGGGCATCCGCAGGAATGTATATCATAATTATCCATTCAGCCACCAAAACTTTGTGAAGACCGGAGGTAGAAAGTTTTCTCAGAAGAGACAAATTTTAAAAATCTTAATTTTGTTTTATACAGGGTGTCCCAGAAATAACACGCCGTCGGGAGGTAGATTGGCTTCAGATCAATCAGGTAAAATCAACATGACCTTAGTAAAAGTATTATAGTTTGATATTGCCACTTTTGAGTTTTTTTTAAAAAATCCTCACTTTTTGCTCCTTTTTTGCCTGTTATGGCTATAAAGAACTTCGAACTTAAGATTTTTTTTCTGAGCAACCATTAACAGTTGGTTGAGACAACCGAGTATCCATTTCATTGAATACTAGCACGTTATGCTAAAAAAATAATCATTACATTTTGTTTCAATGTGAAAACCTTTACTAAATCGGCGAATGATCTTAAAAACTAGCTCAAGGGCGTCGTAAGGGGGGGCAGGGAGGTCTGTGTCCCCCCCTGAAAAATGTAGTGAAATGCAAATCAATAAAATTCTTAAGTACACTTAACATTCCCGCACGTCAAAATTCGAACGAATTCACCATTTCCATTCCTAGTATTCAAACTCTAAGTTATAATAAATATAATGGAGATTCACACATTGGACTTTATAGGTACTGTTCTTATCACAATCACCATGCTACACGTGTAAAATTTGATGTGAGCTGGCGTCGCCCTTGAAATAGCCTATTTAAAGCTCTTTTAAAAATAGTATAACATTTGTAAGTTATTTCTACTAAAAATTGAACAATTCCAAGTTTTGTCATTGAAGTAGTAATATTTGCGAAATACTACAAATAAAAAATAAGAGCAACCGTCCTTTGTATCCAAATCACTAAGGAATCACACGAGCTAAACATGTCATTGACTATATCTCGCTCTCACTTTCACTGTTCGGTCGGTCACTACGAGGAACGTTTAGCATACCGTGCTAGTTTTCAATTAAATGGATACTATTAAAGATAGCCCAGGAAAAAAAATCAAAAGTTAGAAGGTTTTTATAGCCATAACAGGCAAAAAAATAGCAAAAAGTAGTGATTTTTTGAAAAAACCTAAAAGTGGCCATCTCTCGAAAACTTTTACTGAGGTCATGCTGATTTAATTTGATTCATCTGAAGGCAATCTACCTCTCGTGTCACTCTGGTGTGTTATTTCTGGGACACCCTGTATACTTGAACCACCACCGTGGCCTAAGCACCTTTTTGGGTACAGTGGGGCTATAGGGGGGTACAGGGGAAAGGTGGGGTGCCACACGGACTCTATCGAGGGAACACGTGTACAAAACTGCTAAAAATGCATTTTTTTGTTTTCATTTCAATATTTGCTTTCCTACAATAGACCTTCGATGCAGAACACAATGCTAAATTTGATAGGAAAATCCGATTCATCTGGCAACACGGCTTCAGCTACGGTCTTTGACGACTACTCCAGCGTCCTCTGGCGGTCGCGGTGCCGAACGAATCAGTCATGGACGAGGTTATGTCGCGACAACTATCGTAGTCCGCAAAAGAAGAGAAATATCCCGAAATCAATGGTCGACGATCATGGCTGAGGAGCTGTTAGTGGTACTAAACCGTAGCGAACACTCTGGATTCGGTTTCAGCCTCCTCGGCGAGCCTGGTTTGCCTCCCATCATCTATAATATCCTGGAGGATTCGCCAGCTGCAGAAAGCGGAGAGGTAGGCTATGGATCCATGGCTAGGCGGATGACTGCGAAACAGTTATGGTGTTTACTTAATTATTCTGCTACTGATGCGGGTATAATAATGTGCAATTTATCAAGAATGCATTAGTGACGGTCTACAGTGAATATAAACTACCAAGATATTTTCATTTAATGTAAATTCCAGTTTTTGTGCTGGTCAAGTCTGTGACATCTGTCAAACTGGTTATGGGTTATCAGTTGTTTTGAAAAGAAAATTCTTCGACCTCGGCTCAAAGCCATCTGATTTATAGTAAATTACTGCCACATAGTTTTTCTTAATTTTCAATGTACTTTTGTCATGTTGCTGCAATTATAGAATACTTATATCCGATCTTTTTTATTCATCTATAAACAATGAATCAGAATCTTTACTAAAAACATGATAACTTTGATAAAATACAAATATCTAATGCATTTTAGGCACTTGTTTGTATTCATGTGTCTTGGAATTGTATTTCTTAAAAGTTTGTAGTCTGAAAATGCTTAGCAAAGTCCAGTTTTTTTTCTGTAATTAATGACTGTGACCATCTTTTTGTATAGGTAATTAGGTGTGTAATGAGAAAATATTTGAAAACAAAATCCTTAGTCTGTTATGTTATATCAAACAAACCAATCAGGTGTACACAACAGCAAGATTGTTTGATGACTCATTTGTTTCCTGATGGATCTACAAGGTAGATAAACAAAGTGGCTTTGACTATCAGAGGTCTGCTTTTGTATCCTGTGGCTTATCATACTGGGTCGTTTGGGAAGGCTATTAGTGAAAATCATGATACTGCTAAATTATCTACCTGGTAACAAGTTATATTTGCATGGTTTTCAAATTAAGCTTATTACTTTATCTCTAATGGCAAAACAGTTTTAATAATGGCATAATGTGTACTTATGCAGATATCTTATACAGAATTTTATTAGTTTCAATTATCTGGAAGTTGATAATTCTAATCATTTAACTTCTAAATGCTGGATATATTTTTTAATAGGGAAGTTTAAAAGTTCATTACATTGTCAAAGTTAGTAAATTTTAAAAATTAAATATTTAATAATACCAAGCTGCCTCTGAATAGAGATTGATTAAAGTAAAAATACCTTATATAATCTTGTTCTAGAGGATATTGTAGAATAAATTAATTCAATCATCAAATAATCTTGCAGTTTATATAAAAATACAGAATAGATATATTTATTAGCAGCAACAAACAATATAACAAAAATCAAAATATTTCCATTCCCAAAATAGTAGTGTTGGTCTTAATTAAGATAAAATGTTAATTTTACATCTACAGCTATAGTGTTAGATAACTACATTAAAATTAACAATCACTATTACTAAGATTAAAGTAAATTATACACGAAAAACATATCTCCCTGCTGCTAAAGTTAAGTGTACAATAGTATATAGAATACTGTGTGAGCACTTATAATAGATCTAATAAAAAATAAAGGTTATATACTAGAAACATATTTACATATTTTTATCATTCATTACATTTCATTTACTGCAAATCTCTTGCACAAGCAATAAGGAACATAATTTAAATTAAATAAATAATTTATAGTTACTACTTATTATCCACTTCACTATTTCAGATTTAATTTTCATTATATATTTTGAATATTAAGACTAGAAAAAAAAAAGATCGACAAAACTGCATACTAGCTTAAATAACATAACAAAAATATATACAGCTGTGAGTTTTTAGTGTGGGAGGAGTCATTAACACTGATTTTGTTAGCCACTTGTGTCATCATTTCATTTTATGGCAGACTTGGATAGGCCCTTTCAAATTAAGCAATTTGATATAATATCCTAAAGGGTTTCATTTTCGAAGTGTTGTGATATGAGACAATCTATAAGAGAAACACTCCACTTTGATGACTGCCACCTCCACAACGGTTATAGTTAGAGTACTAAATTTGTTGTCAGAAAAATTTTTAGATCCCATATTTTGTTCCTACCTATTTGCTTTTCCATTTTTTTGGACAGTTTATACATGGTAGTCAAGAACACAAAATGAATGATTTCTCAAAATGTTTAAACAAGGTTAAGGGGGTTTTTGTGATGTTTTTGAATTACAACTAACATTTTTGTAAATCAGATATCAGTCAGAACCTTTCAAAATGAAAAATAGCATTTAGTTGGTAATGGCAGATCAATAGAATTGGAATATCTTAATTATAAATTAAATCTACCCAGCTTTATGGAGTAACATTGTAAAATGATAACAGTGTGTTTTCAGTAACTCAAACAAACCCCATAAAATAAACCTCATTTCAGAAAAAGCTTGTGAAAATGGATGTCAAAAAACGTGAAAATATACCATGTTGTTCCACTTGAAGATGTTGAGAAATAGTTCATTTTGCCTTCTTGACCATCCTGTATAAACCAGCAAAAAAAAAAATTGAAAAATAGGCAGTTAAAAACAAAATATGAGACCATAGAATTTTTCTGACAAAAAAGTCGGTACTATAGGTATAGCAGTTGCGGTGGTGCAAGCCATTAGTTTGAGTGTTTGGGCCTATTCTAATCTGCAATAGAAAGTAGGGCTTTTCATTAAAAAAATTGTTTTAGGGTCACCATGTAATTATAAATCACCTTGTAGAAAGAAAAATTAAATTTTTTAGATACCATGTGTAATAATGGTGTTATCAACTGAGACCACACTAAAAACTATAATAATAATAATGAATGAAAAGTAAAACCAACAATAGTCCTATTTGCAATTAAAAATAAATCATTTCCAAATATGTACCACTATTATAATCTCTGTACTTAGGGGAGAATGGTAAAGATTATATTTTTTATCACATGTTATGTAATTCAATTAGTTTCTATTCAAAATGAGTGCAAGCATTCAATATCAATTTGTCAGTTTTCATTTGACTCCAAATCTGATCTGATGTCAACTGGACACTGACATATAGCTCTACACAGTGCTGTAGTTGCCTGAAGATGAACAAGATAGAATTGTGAAATGATACCCATACACGTTACAACACTGGTTCTAGAACTAGATTTGATTGTATCTGCTTCCATTTGTATCAGACTCTGTTTATGAAACATACTTTTAATGCTCATGATCATTTGATGTTATTTCAGGTTCAGGTTGGGGATGTAATATTAAAAGTAAATGAAACTGATGTCTTAAGATATAGCACTAAAGAAGGTGAGTATTATAGTTGCTTTCATCCATATTGTATTTAACATTACCCTGATTTAACCAAGCCTAGCACCTCAGCAGTTTACTATTTTCATGTGATTAAACCATTTTCTTTTCCATTATGCCTTTTCCCACCAGTCACGCTTTATTTACTTATTAACACTCATTTTTTGCTTTTTCAGTTTTAAAATGCCTAAGGTTATCAACTGATCCTGTCACACTTAAAATCAAACGCGGTAAGACACCCCAGTATCAGTATTTAACTTATAATATTTATGTTGGTAAAGGCTCATCAACTTCTAATACACCTATACTTCTTATCATTCCATTACTGATTGCAACATCAGTATATCTCTGTAACAGTTGTAGCATCCTCTAGAACTTTGCTGATTTTATATATAGCAATTTCGATACATATATATATATATATACCATTGACTTTCCAAAGGTTCATTAGAGTTTAAATCATTTTGAACTGTTGTTTGAACACAAAAAGGTATGATATACATATCTTCTTCATACATTTATCAATGATCAATGATCTACAAAAAAACAGCCTAGTATTTCACCTAAAACTACTAAAATCACATGAAGTCGTGCAGTAACATAATGATTTGGTAAAAATCTGTTTGTTAAAATGGATGTGTATAATCTGATTTCCTTTTTCAATATTCTTCATTTATGACAAAATATAGTTTTTTGTTGCTACTATAAACTGAAAATTGCACCTACCAACATTGATGTTATATTATAGTATAACCTGTATTCTATAGTTGCTCACATTGTATGTACTAAATGTGTTATATATTTCTGATTTCATTGTTGTTAAAAAGGTGTTTTAACCTTCAATTTTTGAAATCAAATCTATTTTTGATTTGACAATATCTTAGTATATAACTTAGTCAAGTAATTGTTGTTTGTCTAAGAAGTCTATGTTGGTTCAGGTAAGTGACCGTGAAAGCATGTAAAAATTACCCGAGTTATTCACGTATCACATGTTTTATATTTCACATTTTTTGTTGAGTACACACTGTTATGTAAATATGAATACATTCTGCTTTATTCCTTAAAGCACAATATTATGCAGCAATATATATGCCTGTCTCCAGACATCTTTTATATCCATAATAGCCCAGACCAATTTCAAGTTCTAAGAAACTAGTCCATTAATCCACTTTTGTTTGACACCATTTCAGATAGTTGATATACAGGGTGTCCCAATATTCCGTTGACATAGAAGTACCACGTATCTTTAGACTCAATTCGATTGGACATGATTTATATCTATGCAAAAGTGCTTCGTTTGTCCATTAGAGGGCGTCAGATTTCTTTTTAAAACAATTTTTTTAAGTTATTTTTGGAACCAAAGGATGTTTTTTGGAGTTGATTTCAAATTTTTTTCTTTTCCATGTGTTTTTTGTGCCTTATTGTCATGTGCAGGAACAAAAATGGTGGTCACACCTTTTATGAAAGATTCACACTATTGACTGTATTACATCAAATCATAATAAGAAATATCATGCCTATTTATTTTTGCTAACCATACTTGAAGAATTAATAAGATGCTTGGAAGCCTTTCTCGAAAACTATCCGAGATAACCTGATTTTATAGGAGAAAAAAAATGAGATAAAAACATCTGCTAAATAAAAAAAGTTGCCAAAAAATTCTACTATAATTTATGTAGGGGTGGGGGTAGTTTTCACCCTCCTCGAAACCTTTAGAGTTTTTCGTAAAAGATAAATATTAGAACGTCTAGCAAAAAGAAGTTTAATATTTCGGTCAAATCGGACTATCGGTTCTTGAAGGATCTTAAAAAACTGGTTTTAAAAGAAAAATTTTACGCCCTCTAATGGACAGTCGAAGCACTTTTGTATAGAGATACATCATGTCCAAACGACTTATTTTGTGTCTAAAAATACGTGGTACTTCTGTGTCTACGGAATAGTGGGATACCCTGTATAATTATGATGAAGGACTCCACAAGTTATAATTCTACTTGATCTAGATTTATTATTTACGAAACCTATAAAAGTTATTATCTGATGTTCACACCATTTACAGCACTTTGTTTTCACAACTGTAGGCTTTTTTACATTTATTTGCAAGACAGATTTTATTCCACTAGAAAAGATAAAAATATTGACTAGAACGAACAATTCAAACCCACAGAATTACAGAAACCTTAATTTTGTATCTTGGTGTCATCCATATGAGTTATACTGTATACCAAAGATGAATGACATGTGAATAGGTTGCAAAAATATTCCAAGTTTTGGTACGCGAAATGAACCTGTCATACTTTGAAACATAATTTATTTAAATCTGTAGGATTCCCGTTTAAGGAATCATATCATTTTGGATATCAATAGCAAGTGATCTCACTAGTTGTCTGTGCCTAACCTCCATGGCAGAAGCAGGGTTTCGTTCTAAAGGCTGTACGTGGAAAACTTACGCAAAAATTAAGAAGGTGAAAACGTGAGAGTATACTTTTTGGATGCAAAGTATTGATATTTCTTCGAAATAAATTCTCAAAACCTACATAACATAACACCATATCACACGATATCTATGTTGATATCACATTTTTTTCTATAAAAATGGCCGTCATTTTGTTTTTCCAGTAGAACTATTTTGGTCCGAATCAAAATCATTCCAGGCCACTTAAGGAACAGATATCAGCATATAGCCAACCTTTAACATGGCATGTAATACACATTCTAGTAATTCATACCTTCAGTAGCGTCAAGCTTATTCGCCACTTACTTATTATGTGCATTGATTAACGTATTCTACCTCAAGATATCCAAACTAGTATACTATATTGGCTTTTCCGAAAAAATATTTGATGTGAAATAAGGTACCATAGCGTCATATATGAGAATTTGTCACAGCCATGTTTCTCCTCTCCGCAAAAATAAAAAGTCCACTTTGAAAAGGCTAGCATTTACTTCCAAATTCACTTTTGTGACCTGCTACTGTCTCGTAGATGGCGTTAAGATCTTTCAAGTCCCTTTTTGGGCGCCGGAATACTGAAAATGGTTGGCGGTGTAATCAATCGATGATGACCATGTAGCGTATTTAAATTTGTATATCATGAAATTATTTTTGTCACTATATCTTCTTAATTTTTCATGACCATGTTCTCCGCGTGTGCGCAGATCCGAAGATCAAAGCATCCGTATGCAAGCACCTGCTGAACTCCGTGGGCGGCGCCCCGGTTCCAGCAGCGGGTATCGGGGGCGGCGGGGGTGACAGCGGGGTGGTCACCCCCGAGAAGCCCCCCAGCAAGATCCCGGTGGCTATACATTCAAACCTGAGGCCGGAGCCAGCGGTGCATCGGCCGACGTTCAATAACAATCAATCGCCGTTGCAACAGCGACATCTGGTGGAAGGCACTACGAACGGAAGCTGTACAGAACAGGTGAGCCACCTCTGAGTTTAAAATAGGCGTTTAAAATACAGAATGTTCAAGGTAGTACCGCAGCAATCGATTATTTGGAAAGGTGACGTTGTACGAGTGAATTAGCGCGACCTAATGGCCATCCAAACAAGTTAATGATGTGATGTCGGCTAGATACAAGCTGAACTGATCTGACCCACTGCAAATGAATATTGAACTTTTATGGCATTATGTCACCTTGTCATTCACTTCATGTTCACTAGTATAAGATGTGCGTGTTGCCCAAACGTCATGACGCTTGAGCTATATGGTTTGGATCTGATGTGATGTAATATCTGCTTCTGAGAGAGGACTGGCGGTGGCCATTCATAGCTTCTATGACCTAAACTAAAGTTTTATACTGTAGCCGGAAGGAAACACTGCAGCGCAGCACAATGTTGATTAAAGTACTAATAATCAGTGTTGATGATGATTGTATCAAATACACTTACTTGAGATCCATGTAAAGCTGGAAATTATTGACTTTGTTAAGCAATACATCCCAAGCGGGGTAATTCTTATTTTGACAAGCATTTTGGACGGAAGACCTACATGTCTGACATGAATGAATTATGAAATCTCATAGCCTCACAGCGACACAGAACGTGCACCGAGGTCTTTTCCTCTACTCCTAGCGCTCACATAAGGGATCCTCAGCCACCACCATCGCATGCAGGTGGCGCCTTAACGTGGTATGGCCAGACAAAAGTCCCACCAGCGACTTTACTTAGTGCCTTCATTGCAGCCTGGCTGTCAGAGAAGATTGTTATTCATCTCCTAGGCCCCCCTCCAAAATGCGGGATACACAAGAAGCTAGAATCGCAAAGATTTCCGCCTGACATTATTTGTCTGCCTCCTGATGCTCTCAACTACCAGCATAGTTTCCTATAACTAACATCAATCAAACCATTTTCAAAGAAGGGATATACTTCATGGGCATCATATTCAGCAATAATTTTCTCACATAGCATAGGTATAAATGATCAAAAATCACTGATGCTATAGACTCTCGCAGTTTGCAACTCATAGAGCATACTGGCGAAATGTGAACTAAACACAACACAGATTGCACCATAGAGACCACGTCGCTATTCCACTCTCAGTTGAAATCATTTTATATTTTGATAGGTGATTGATTGTATTTCATCCCAAATTGGCCCCCCAAAAAAACAAAACATGTCATTTCGTATCTCGTGCTGTCATCTGTCAATGAAGTAGTACATTACATAGCACGATGATACCATGTTTGAGAAGTGGGCCACTATTAGGCGAGCACTTTTATAACCTGGCGGCATTCTCAAACGATATAAACCCTATTTCACGATATCCATCACGTTTTTACGTCTACTGAGGAGAATAACTGATCAGCAGGTGACATCTTTATATTAGTCTAGGTATAACATTGGCAGTAATGAATCGGGTGGAAATTTAGTAAGACGTGCACGTAGCATTTTTTTGTATGCAAATGAACTTTTCTGAATAAAATGGTTGTTTTGTTAGCAAGTACAACATGAATCTGTAGTGTACAAAAAACCAAAACCAAATACGGCTCTGTCTACCTGGTGTTGACGGATCCGTCAGAGTTAGGTGTCATTTGTCGATATGGGGAAATTTGAACTGTGACTAGATAATCAGCTGTTATTCTACCGTAATGGATACTCGTGAAAAAAAAAAACAATATGAATAGAATTGTTTTCACTACAAACACTATATACCACAAAATATTCAATTTTACATCACAATCATGACGCTTCCTACTAATTTTATAAATACTTCAAAATATCTGGTTACTGGATTTTCTTTGGACTGGCCCATCCAAGAGGAGTAAGGTACAAAGGTCTTATTTTTGTTAGCGTTAACAGCCGTTTTCAAGGAGAATTACACGAGGAGGTATACTCAAAATTATTATTCCTCAACCATTCTAAAATATTTCGAAATATAATGTTCAGTTGCCAAACTGACACAATGGAATTGATAGGATACGATTTCAAGTGACATTGTTTACCTAGGTGCTTTTGCTTCCATTATTTACATAGGGAGAAAAATGCTCCTTCTCAATAAGGCATTACGGTAAATAATATCGATTTCAGAAGAAGAAAAGAGAAAATCTTGAGAAAACTGGCTGCAAAAGCATGTTGGGATGCAAAGCGACAAGTAAAAGCTGTGAAGTATTACTGTTATCAGTTGACTACACTAGCACGAGAAGCTCCTCCTTCGTGCGATCTTATTGCATTCAGTACAAAACTAGTTTAAAGTACACACCAAAAGAACATTAATATATAAACTATATATATATACAGGGTGTTAATAAAGTACCTATGTAGACAAACTTTAAAAATCGAATTCTTGGTCAACTTGAAGACTAAATGTTCCTATGAACATGGGTCCGTAACGGCTTATTTTCGAGCTAGAGCACTATCACTAAAGAAATACGAGTAATGTTCCAAATATTTCTATGAATAATGAACAGTTGGTATAACCTATGATAAATTTTGCATGTTTTACAAGTTGCTGAGGCTCAATATGAACGTTACCCAGAGCCATTCCGTAAACGAAATGCATATCTATCATTTCTTGATCACTGAACTGGAACCATTATGTCAATTATTAGTAATCGCCAAAACTTAGATATATTTGGAGTCTTAGAATAACCAGACAAGAAAACAAATATTTGACATCATAGGTGTCTAGATAAGCATAATGCTTAGACATTAAAAGTATTGCGATCAAAACAAATCAATGTCATGCTATTTTTTCAAAAAATACTGGGTCACATTATCCGTATCTACGTACATGGAGGGTCTGAAAACAACTGTAAATCATGTGATATTCACCACAGAGAATACTGTTCCATTCTTTTATAATTTTTTAGAACAATATCATTTGTTTTAGTGCTAATATGCTCTAGCTTGAAAACAAAGCTGTTGCGGACGCATGTTCATATAGAAATTTCGTCGTCAAATTGATCAAGGATTCGATGGTTAAAGTTTGTACACATACTTTATTAACACCCTGTATGTATGTGTATATATATACAGGGTGACTTTGAAGTTGAGTCATTAATTTTCAGATAATGATTGTAGAAGGAAGATAAACCAAAATTAGTGTGTAAAAATAAAAAAAATTAAAAAAAAATGTTTACCTTGTTTTATAAAGTATCCTCCCGACAAGTATTTCAGTGCGGACCTGTATTTGATCGTGAGGTCCCCTGTGAGGTCTTAAGTCACCTGATTCACGAGCCCGTTGTACTACATTAACAAAGGCACGAGGGGTTGGTTGCACTCGATTGGGAAACCGATCCGCATAAACATGTGCCATTTTTTATTTCGTTTGAGCCACGCAACAGACACCATTCACTCGCGTTACCGACTGTATGTATAACTGAACTGAATAAAATAATTGTAAAAACATCGTTCCAAATTCTTTCGCTTTTTTGTTTCCGATGCGATGAACCGATAAGGCGGATTATATCCGTTGTTGCCAAACACGAGCACATGATATTATTATTGAGACAGGGCGGTACTCAAACTTCCAAAGGGCTATAACTTTGTTACTTTAATTTTACCAGAAAAATGGTAAAGGAAAAACACATTTCTTTTGATCAGATCTACTCACTGTTAAAATAAATGACTCAACTTCGAAGTCACCCTGTATATACTGGTTTTGTCGAAATAGCGTTGAATATGCACCAGTGCATCACTAGTTTTAGCAAAATAGAACGCTATATAATATCTCAAAACAGTTGAGTTGAGTTTTTCTTACGTAGTTCGGTAGCATTAAAAGTTCTTGAATTTCAACAAAATTGAATAACCCCACACATAAAATTGTAACCCTAATACCGATTTACTTACAAACCTTGACTTGGTTTTTCAATTGATGTTCGTTTTCGCGTCCTTACAAGTTCTACTTTCCAAGGGCTTCCACGTCCTACTAACATATTACCAACGACACCAATTTGCTAACATGGCAACTTGGGGATTTACACAAAAGTTTGTAACAGCGCAGTAATATTAGTATAGAGTGTAACTTAGTGATATTGCGTAATAACAAGGGCGCATTTTTTATCCCAATTTAAGTTGAAAAGTTTCATATAAACATGTGTCCTAAGAAGTCTGGTTTCCAAGATACAGAACGTCAAAGTTTTTTTTTTTGTTTTTTATCTCAAAGATCCCTGTGCCGATTCAGTTGAATTTTTGCAGGGTTATTCATTGCAATAAGGCACAAGGCTGCAATTAACTAGAGGATAGTTATGAATTTCAGTGGCGTCTCGGGAGAGTCTCATGAATTACTATTCGACAAAAACTGCCACTGCCTACAAAAACATTTTTTTTCGAATTAAGCAGTCAGTGATACAACTTTTTTCTCTTGGGGTGTTTTTTGTATCCTTTTGAGTAAAAATAATAACAACAATTTCATTACATGTTAAAAAATTCTTAAAACAAAATCGACTTATTTTGATCAATGAACAATATTCACTTATAAGCTATTTTTAAAATGTAAGGAACAGTAAGTAACAACAATTTGACAAAATATTACAGAAAATGTCTCTGCTCTCAGGTTTTAACAATCTTTTGACATATAATGTTGTAGTGCCGTATATTTTTTTGTCGATATTAATCTAGAGACTGCCTCCGTGACTCCACTAGAATTCATAATCATACAGTTAGTGATAACTTAGTGTCTTATTGCACTGAACAACACTACAAAAATGCAACAAAATTCTCACAAGGATCATTGAGATCTTGACAGAAAAACAATTGTTTTATAAGACTTTGACATACTGTATCTTGAAAACCAGACTTTTCAGGACACATGTTTACATTAACTTTTCTATTTAAATTTAATTAAGGAATGTGTGCTTGAAATTACGGTCCAACATTAAATAACACCTTGTTGATGATTTTGCATCTTGAAAACTGCCACAATTGACAAATGCTTCAAAAACTTGACCATCTGAATCATTTGTCTGTATTAGTTTTCAATAGAACAATGCATTTTATATCTAAATCATTGCATGGAGAAAACGCACATACAAAACTGTATATTTGTTGACGCATCCTTGTTCATCATACAGTACTTTAATCAGATCTGGACAACTACCGCTTATTTAATATTTGGTCAATTAAATTGCTGCAGTGCAAAATAAACCAAACATTCTTATAAGAAATAAATGGAAAATTCCTTACAACTGCACATAACAACAGACTGTAACATAAGCAATGACAGGCGATAGTTTTCTTGCCGCTTTTTTACGAAAGAAAATTATAATACACATCTGTCCTAAAGTACTGCGTTTTTATTATAAATTAATATCACCAAATGTGATGAATCTACATTACATTTAACAGTGGGGGACTCAGGAAACTATCCAGGGGGGAGCACAGGTGGTCGCAGAATTTGGGTCCAGGAAGATGTTGATTGGCGACTGAAAATTGAAGAGGGGCGGTGGAGTAGCGTCTGTATCCTTAGCCAGCGCTTCTGAGATCGAATGCCCTTGTGACAACTTAATAGCGGGGTGTGGGATACATCTACGAGTGATATTTAAATTCGCGCGCCCCTATTAGCCTGTAGACCATAAATGCCTGAGCAGGCAGCGACAAGCGAAAAGTAACGCCGATGGGTTGCTCATGTCCATTCTGACACGAAGTAAATGAGATGTGAATATGTATGCTTGATATCACTGACAAGACGCTGATGTGAAACAATCAAATACTATCATATAACGAGAGTGTCACATATTGTGCGAGATTAAATTGTCCCTTATAGTTTTGATGGAACCTCAGTTTTAACTGCCTTATTATCAACAACATTCATCTCTGCACAAAAATGGATAATAAACATCTTGGTCATTCCATGATCTTTTTTACATTACAGGAGCCACAAGTGATCAACAACCAGCAACAGAAGTGCCGACAGCTAGAGAAGAACGAGCGGTTACAATGGCAACCATTGTCGTCAAATGAAGTGAACAACACGAAACCCGTCTCGCAACAGCAACCCAAATTCGAAGCGTACATGATGACAGGGGAGCACATACTCAACATATCCAGGATTCCCCAGACCACGGCGGCCATACTACCTAAACAACAGAAAAAAGTAAGTAATATTGTTTTTTTTCTTTCGTTCTAACAGTCGCCACACTACAGGTGCAGCAGGACCAATTAAGCAGTTTCAAAGAGTTATAAAGAAGACATCTGGATCTATAGAAGAAATTTATTTTTATTTCAGACACAACGTTTACATTCAAGTTTTATAAATAGTCTTCACTTCTTCAACAATCGCCCTTAACTCTAATAGGGTATGAGGAGGATGCCTAAGCACCTTTTACTTTAGGTATCTCCAAAGAGATAGTCACATATGCTTAAATCTGTCGATCGCGCAGGCCATCCAACATCACCTTTCATCGAAACGATTCTTCCTGGAAACATACAACAATTCAAAGGGACAAAATGACGTTTAACCACGTTTTATTTTAAAGCGAGAGAGATATATGCGGTGTTGCTAAATAGATAGTTCTTTTTGGATGAATTTATTGTAGTGAAAAATTATAATTTTTTTGATCCCATCTACTTTTGTATAGACTCGTAAGTATATTCACGGTGGGGATATTTATCATCCATTTGCAGTCTACCAATTTTTCTTGAAATGTGTACATTGCACGTTAAAAAATATTTATGCAAGTGTATCGATCAGACAAACATAAAAGGTATCCGACATTCTTTAACGTTTACCAGTGGATAGTAAATAATATTCGTAGACGCTTAATTAGTTATTAGGTCTGGCTTCCATATTTCAGCAAATGAGATTGTTGAAATGCGCGATAAGTCAAATATTTTATAATAGTGTGTATCATATTTCATGAAAATGGATGTGGGGAATATGCAACAATAATAATAATAATAATAATGGTTTATTGGTGCTATTACACAGAACGTGCTTACACAAGTCAATATAATAGAAGCGCTCAGTTACAAGAAGAAAATAAATGACAAACAATACATATAATAACAAACAGTACAGATTACACACACTTAAATATGGTTAAGAGGATGTCAATAAAACTATAAAAGATAAAATTATTACAAACTACCTTAAAATCAATAAATAAATAGCATAAGAGATAGAACTGAAATAGATATTTTATACATGGTTCGAATAAGTAGCAAAAAAAGGAAATGTAGCTAGAAATATAACTATTGAGTATCCTTGGAGAAGTTGTGGTTGAGGAACTCGTCAATGGTGAAAAAAGCAGCCGACAAGAGCAATTTTTTCACAGCATTACTGAATTCATTGTATGCTAGTGATCTCAGTTCCTTAGGTAAAATATTATAAAATTTTATACCATGGTAGTTAACTCCATTCCTTGTTTTAGCAAGTCTATGTTGTTTTGGGTACAAGTTGTCTCGGTGTCGGGTATTATATGAATGAGTTTCATGGTGGATTGTATAAAGGTCAGGATTTGACTTGACATGCAAGAGGCAGCTCAATATATATGTGCCAGGCAAAGTCATGATCTTTAGTTTGATAAACTCAGATCTGTAGGATCTCTATATCTTAGATTTGCTATATATCGGATACATCTTCTCTGTAGGGCAAATAATCTGTACATGTGGGGAGAGTGGTACAACTTTATACAACTTTGTTACTTTATTCACCTCAGTGTAAATATAGCAGTTACTAAACATTTTCTGAGAGCCTGGCAAGACTGCATAGGCGCTTCCCCGGTAGACGTCAAGCTATCTATGAGCGAACCGCTAAACCAAGGGTGGATCGCTCATTAATCACTGATTTTACTTCCTACGCCACTGGGCGAGGAAGTATTGTGATCGCGAAAAAAATCGAGTCATATATTGTGTTTTTTGGATGTTATATGACGTACATCACGAAAAATCATGTCACTCATTTCCGTCTATCTGTCTGAACGCTAATCTTTGGCCCGTCTATAACATACTGCCCGGATTTAGATGGAATTTTCACACAAGGTGCTATGCCAAGGACGAAAAAGCTATGGTTTTTGAAAGTCATTCAAGTGACAGCAGAGAAAAATGCCAAAAACGAAAAAAAATCGCTTAAACTTGACGTTTCAGAGGATTTTGGTCTATTTTGAAAGTCTTTTAGGGGTAAACAATTGGGGAGTTGAGAAGGGTATATCACATTTTTATGATAGTATGAGCCCCTTCCCACTTCAGTTGGCCCACTTCAAGATTTGTACCAAAATATGCCTTTATAAACAAAACATGATGAAACTATTTACTTCTAAAACAATTTATTTTCTCAAAAAAAAATTTAGATACACTCTAGTCGTAAAAAATACATATTTGAAATCACTTAGATCTATAACTAATAGAACATCTGAACAATTAAACAATGTGTAAATAAATAAAGTTAACAAAGCAACAATTGAAACATTATCATGGGGTAACATCACCTTTATTTTTTATTACGGCTGAAATTCTTTGGGGCATAGTGTTAACAAAGTTTTGGCAAAAATTTGGTGTAAAACAATCCCATATTTCTTGAAGCTTTTGTCTCAGTTCGGTAATTGTACGAGCAGGATGTTGTCGTAGAACCTTTTTCATCTCGTGCCACAAAGTTTCAATAGGTGACAGATTTGGACTGCTAGAAACCCATTTCAAAAGTGGTACACTATTTTCTTCCATCCATTTTATAGCCTTTTATGAGGTACGGCACGCTGCACCATCTTGCTGAAACACAAAATCTTGGCCGGATGTCAAACATTCTTCCATCACTGGTAAAAGCAATTCTTCTAAAATTGCCAAATATTTGTTTGTATCCACATTTCCATCAATAAAATGAAGTTTTCCTACTCCTTTTGATAACATACTGCCCCAGACCATAATGGATGCTGGAAATTTCACTTTTTTCTTCAGTCAGTCAACATGGAATGTCTCATTTTTTTTGCGAATAACTCTACTGCGACTGTCACCAACACAAACTTCGAATCGGGCCTCATCAATCCATTGTATTGCACACCATTGTTGAGGTGTCCATTGTCTATGTTCTTTAGCCCATCTAAGCCGATTTTTCTTTTGCAGTGGAGTTAATAGTGGCTTTTCTTTGGCCTATAAACAAGTTGTATAACTTTAGGGTTTTTACTTCACTTTTTTTTATAAGAAAACTGACCTTGCAAGTCCCAGTTTGTGGGCCTCTCTATGAGTTGTGGACCTCGAAATTCTCCTTCCAACAGCGTCACTCCACAGAGCACTTAATTGTAAATAATTGGCACACCTGTTTTTCACGATTATTCTTCTTAATGCTCTTCGATCGGCATTTGTGATATTACTTTTTTCACATATCGTGACTTAATATTAACTGAACCAGTTAAGTTATATCTTCTAACAGTATTCCTCACACTGTACCGCGATAAGTCTAACAAAGTTGCAATTTCTGAGTTTGATTTCCCAGAATTAAGAAATTTAATTATCAGTAACCGAATTTTTTCACTAATAACCTTTCCTCTACCGATTTTGAAAACCTTAACTACCCAAAACTATTTTAAACGTATTCTGACAGCTGTGATTAATAAAAACAATTGTCATGGCTTTTATTTTTCACAGCCATCTATGCGTTATAGGCTTATTTTGCATTGAAATGAAAATTGGTTGATATGCTGTAATTTGCAACATGTGTTATTTTTATGCTGCAAATTCGCTTAGGGAGAGATAAAGTTTTCTACTATATATTATCAAAATATTCATTGTTAATATTTTAAACCTATAACACCCTGCTACATTTTTATTATTTGTGTTTGATAAGAAAAAATCTAAGATTTCAATAGTTGGCCAACTGAAGTGGGAAGGGGCTCGCTATATTAATATACTTCCCCGTTAATTCTACGCACCTATTATCCATATTTCACACATCATAGATTTCCCCGTACTTTTGCCTTCAAAACAGAATGATAGAGAAATGTTTTCGATCCGCGTACTTCTGCTATCTAAGCTCACCGCCCGGCGGACCGTCCGGCTGACTAATCTATCCGTACTGCAGCGCAAAAAACATACATGAACCGTGCACGATATGAACGATAACTCGCTGCATCGATACCGCGCAGATGTGGAAAGGGACAACGTTGTCAGATGGATAGTAATCACCTGTAGGGCAGTGAAAGAATATCTATGGAATAAGCCTGTTTGGCTGACTTGATTCGTTTAATTTTTCTGTTGAACATGTTCGTATCTGGATTTAAACTACACTAAACCTAATTATTCATGAACTGTTAACGGCGTTGCGTAGGAAGTGTAGAGTCAACCTACTTGAAGCCACTTTTTGTTTTAAAATGTGGTGACTGCCGTGACCCAACCTGAACTGCTTTCCAGTGACCCAGTTGAGTTACTTGGAGTAATTCAATAGAGCTCATTATAAATATAATTACACTGCACCTTGTGTTACCATGCACATATCCTAGAGCAGTTCGGGAGCATATCACTTTGAAACCAAAAACTACTGGAAAGCATCCCTGACGTCTATGCAAACTGAGCAGACCGCGGGCCTCAAGCTCGTTTACCTAAGTGAAATGCTCCTTACAGAAGGAACCCAAATCTAATCTGATAATATTCGTACATAAGCCAAAAGTAGATTGGACGAACACAAAATTGATAAAATAGGCAACCTAACTTTCACGAAACTTAATCACGTTTTGACGTCAACAGCTGATCAACAGTTGACATGTTTGCCTGTTTATAACCTTGAACACGTTCTCCAACCTAACTACCATGACAGGGGTATCACGTAAAAACTCGATGTAAGCCGGGTTCTTACAGCAGTCACCTACCTATCCGTGTCCAGAATCCCGTTACACAAATTCCGTTCATCCTACTACGCTATTATAGACGGAATTCACACAGCCGGATCCCAGACACAGTCACCGACCACTGCCGCTAGTCCATTCCGCACCTACTAGCTATGAGCGCCATCTAGAAAGGAATGGTACAACGAAAGTCATTCCGGAAATAGTATAGAAAATACAGCTTAGGCCATAGAACCTTTGAATGGCCTAAAATAGTCTCATCCCTGGAGCAGGTGTTACATCACATTCAAGCCAAACCATGTAGTTCAACTGGCATGGCGTTTAGGCAACACGCTTACCAGGTGACACTTTTTCGGAAAGCCTACATAGTCATTAATCATCTATATAATGTAACTTTTTTAGTTACGTAATATGAGTACCGTTCTACTTCTAGCGTTGAAGATTATCTCCCATTAAAAGGTACAAGGTCAGTGAAGTGCCCTTTCTTGATATATCTTCCCTTTGGTCGAAGTCATCGCAATTCATTTATACCATTGTCATTCAGGCGGACAACCCTCGGTACCACAACAGCCACACGCACCACATGCGGGGCGCACCACCCCCATTCACAGCACAGCACAACTCGCTGCCCAACAGCCCGAACGAGCGGGACCTTGGGCATCGGGGGGCGGGGGCTACCACAGGCGGGGGCAGGCACTCGGCGGCCGCGTCGCCCATAGTGACTGCCCGGAGAGCCACTGAGCACCAGCAGGCGGGTACTGCGCCGCCCGCAGCAGGGCAGCAACCGCCTCCGGGGGCAGCGGACGGATACAACTACGTGAGGACTAGCAGGTCGGAGGACCAGTTGCAGGGGCAAAATGATCTGTGCAGGTGAGTTCATCTACATACAGGGTGAGTTTCTCGTGTCGATGGGCCCTATTATAAAATAAACCTGAAAAAGTTGTTTTCAAAACTTGTAGGCGCTCTTTGCTTGGGCAAAATGCCGGTCTCTACAGGGTGATTCATAACAGTGTGGCAACACAAACGATTTTTTCAATTGGAATTGTATATTTTAGTACATTCTGAAACACATTTTCAAAGGAAGTTGTTTGATATAGCATACTCTAGCGTGTGGATTACTGTTTCTGAATCTACAGGAAGTTTTGTTTGGAAAAACACTTAACTTTGACATAGTAATGTTTGCAAAGAAAGCAAACTTTTCGCCAAATTATCCCATAGTTACTTGTCATTTATAGTTTTTTTTAATATCGTAGTCTCTCGTCGATTCAGAATGTTTATAAACGCAAAATGTAATTTTTCTCAAAAAATCGACTCGACAAGTTTACGGTTTTGAGTTAACGTTTTTATAAGCGTTATTTCAACATAAAACTTGGGGTTTAAATTGCTACAGTTTTGAGTTTATGTGCTATTTTCCAAAATTACAATCCCTACTAATATAAATCAGAAAGTGTGGATGTTTGTTATTCAATCTCGCGAAAATGGCTGAACGGATCTGGATGAAATTTGGTACAGAGATAGGTTTTTGTATGGAATAGCACACAGGATACTTTTTATCCTAGAAAATAACTTTGATCCATCTATTTCACGGGTTACAGCTCAAACGGCTTAATGGAATTTGACATTAGGGGAAGCGTCCTGTCGCTGGTCTGATCAAAATTACCATTTATTGCATTTCGGTTTTCTTAGCGTGATTGTCTTGATTTAGATTTGTTTGATGTTTTGTTTTACTTCAAGTATCATTCTGTGAATAAATAGTTATTGGCTTAAGATGTGCCACAGAAGCTATCGGATACTTTCATTAAAATGTTGAATAAAAAATATTGATTGTCAAAGTAACTATTGCGTTACTCTGAATATATCATCTAGGCGTATCCTTCAATTCAGGTTGAGCCACCGGTGGAACCAGTTAGCCAATTTTGCGTCCTCTAATTCCTACTGCCCGTACATCAAACTTGTCTTTATACGCCTTTTGCTTTTCAGAAACCAATTTGCCTTCACACTAATGCAAAATGAATGAATTATACTTTATATAATATATACCACATGTTCTATGTAAAGGGGGACTTCTAAAGGATGGTTTCAAGTCTCCATTGAAATTACCTCCCATCCACTCAAAATCATCGCTGTTGACAAATAATGTGTTGTATATTTATTTTGAACCTGAACTTCTGGAAATTGCGAAAAACACAAACATTTATAGTTGTAGTTACTGTTCTTGGAGATTACGTCATCAGCGCCATATGAAATAAGTAAACAGATCCAGTCTCCGTACCATGGGCGGAACACTGCACAGCCTAGACTTCAGCGCATCTACTACTCTCACCAGTATGCATGAAGTGCGTAACAGCGGATCGCTGTTTTCATCCTCTTCCTGGAAATACTCTAATAAATTTAGCACGAGCAATTTTATACTGAAGATTGATAACAGGACAACTCGAATTGCTCGCCGATGTTAAGTAAGTTGTCACCCTGACAAATATTATTGAAGGGCACTCATACGTAACGACAAAGTTTTTGAGACGGAGACACAACTAAAAAACGTATGTCTTTGAGCTTACCGAACAAACGTTCGCACACAGGGATAGGTTGCATAGTGATGTATGAGGGGGATGGAGATATATAAAAGGATTTTGGTAGTCTTACTTTGACCCGCAAGAACGATGACTACAACTATAGCAATGTAACTCCTAAAAATGTTATACTAAATAAGCTTATAAAAGGTACACCCCAAAACCGTAAAAATATACCTAAATATTTGATTTTTTTATTAAAAAATACTTTTTGCGATTATAAACAAGCTGTAAAAATACTGACAATGCTGGATGTGGTATTCCCATTTGTAGATTTTAATTGTCAGTAAATTATGCCAACCTTGTATTTCAGCGTGAGTGTAGCAAACTCTGAAGCAGACGAGGATGTAACCAGCTCCCTGAACACCCTGTTGGACACACGGCCTGACTCTGCGGGATGCAGTGACAGCGACCGCATCGTCTGGACGTACAATGCACCGATCTCTGATCAACACAAATTCGCCGCACATGCGCTCTCGAATGGCAGCAGTTCCTCGCACAGGTACCATTCGCTTTTTTGCATCTACAGGGTGTCCAAGATAAGGATCGTAGGTTTTGCATGCCGATAAGAAACTCGTAAAAATTTCATTACTTACTGAGATATAAAAAAACTAATGAAACTTTTCCATTGGCACTTTTTAGAAACTACATGGTGGTGGTTTTAAATTTTGAGCCCGATGGTTGGTTTTCAAGAAATCAACTTTATTTTTTTATATGGTGCGAAAAAAGTACATCCAGTATCTAATAGCATTTTTTATACTAATTCAACGATGTATCACATGTTACATTTATTTCCTTGATTATATGGAAAAATGAGTTTTTTCTATTTTTTTAATTAGGCGTTGCAAACAAATGCTTGACTTGATGTAAATACGTCTCACCGAGTATTGATATTATTATGTATGGTTGATATTGCCATATTATCATCAAAATGCCAGCAATGATGTATCACATGTATCACATTGTGTGCTACAAAAATACAAAAAATGCTGTGTCTATTAAGTTCCCGAAAGGAGGTTGTCATTTAGGTTAAATTTTTTAGAGTTGGCTCGAAATTTAAATGAATATGGTTCATTCAAAGAGCCTGTTACATCTCAAAAAAAGAACTCTTTAGATGGCACTCAGAATAGTGTTTTACAAGGAGTTGCCGAGAACTCTGTAATATCAACTAGGCAAAAGAAGAAAAATGCAGAAGTAGCCAAATCCGCCCAGTCCAATTTATTTTGCGTAAAAATATACAGTAATGGACAAAAGTATATAGCCAAATATGAATATTTACCTAAATACCTTTAGGTAATTCATACTTCATTGCTCCATAAATAAATGCGTTATTAGTAGAAAAACTAAATTCCTTGTTTTTACATTATCTGCAATGATCACAATACAAGTCTGAATATAGGCACTTTTTTATGAGGGACAAAAATATTTAGACAAATTCTTTTCAACATTAGCTTAGTACAGTTTCGTGTCAGAAGAGGATTAGTTTGTGTTCATCAAGTATTGTGGAATAAGTTGAGTGATTTTAAGACCATGCCGCGTGGCGTGGTCCACAAATTTCTTTCGATGTGAAAACTAAGATCATTGAGTTATACAAAGATGGTCAACGTCAAGTCGACATTGCCAAAAATTTGAAGCTGAAGCGAATAAATATAAACAAAAAGGTATCTTGGAAGCCTCTAAGAGAAGTGGTCGGCCTAAAAAACTAAATGCTAGATCAGTTAGATTAATAAAAGTAATTTCGTCCAAAGATCTGTTTAAAACCCCAAGACAAATAAAAGCCGAAATCGAGACAAAAGTGTCAGTGTCAGTGTTTCTACGAAAACTATAAGTAGAAGATTAAATGATTTGAAGTTATTTGTAAGAGTAAGAAGCCGCTAATCTCGACGAAAAACCGTAAGGACCGATTACAATTTGCACGGTTTCATTTTGATTGGAGCATCTGTGACTGGAAGAAGGTATGTTTAAGTGACGAATCCAAGTTCAATATGTTTGGATCAGATGGTGTTAGACGTTAGACGTCCTAGTGCACAAAGATTGAACCCCAAGTACACTTTGCCCACTGTCAAACATGGAGGCGGGTCTGTTATGGTTTGGGGGTGCTTTTCGGGGTTTGGGATGGGACCTTTATATAGAATAGATGGCAGTATGGATAAGTTTGTATACACAGACATACTAAAGCATGTCATGTTACCCTATATGGAAGACAATATGCCCTTAAGATCAATCTTCCAGCAAGATAATGACCCGAAGCACACTTCAAATCTCGCAAAGAAATTCTTTCTGGATGAAAAAATACCAGTTCTCAAATGGCCTTCACAGTCTCCCGATATAAACCCCATTGAAAAATTATTCAAACAAGGATGAACTTTTTGCCGCTTTAGTGCAAAAGTGGAGACAGATTGATGAATCTTATATCAAGAAACTTCTACAATCTATGCCGAGACGGTGCCAGGCGGTGATTGATAATAATGGTTATGCGCTACAAAATATTAACACAAACATGGTTGGTTTTCTATAATTCAATGAACTTTGCTTCTTTTTTCTATTATTGTTTTGCTTTGTCTATATATTTTTGTCCTTCATAGTTCCAGTTTTTTCAATTAATTTTTTATGGAAGGGAGTCTAATGAATTTATTTATGTAAGTTATGTACCAGTCTACAGAGAAGAATATGCTGAACAAGGACTTTTGCCTCCACGTTCCTTTCTTATCAGTTACAGTATTGTATTTCATTTGTTCTTTACTTTGGTTTGTATAATGAACTTTGCAGTCAGTCTCGATTCAGAACTCATTCAATTAACATCATTGTATTTGGTCTTTCTCAAAAATAAATCTTTTTAAAAACGTTTTCGTTGAAGAAAGATATTTGAGTGGCGCAGTCAGTAGGATAGCCAGACGAAAAAAGGACATTTTCGGCTCGTTTCAACGGTTTACTGGCTATAACGAAACCAACCGCGATTGGTCGCGAACGATCCGACGGAATATCGATATCGTTACCGTGATCACCGGAACCAGATTTGGGATAGAACCCTACCCAAATCGAGAAACCAAGACGACAGCAGCCCAGAGGACAGAAGGAACATCTGCTCCAGGACAGGCAACCCAGCAGTGGCCCAGGCATACGGACACATGGGACGGATTGGATTACTACTGTAAGTACGAATGTCTTACAGGGGTGAAAACAATCAAAAGCTGTTTGATGATATATTGAGTGACACTGATTCGGACTCACAGTCGGATACGGAACATATCCAACATAGTTTAAGGAAATTGCAATTAAGACCTAGTATACTAAATAGTACAGTCAATATGAACAACAGTCAAGTAAATCAATCAAGCATGTCATTACGCCCAGAGTATCTTAACATGGTACCCGAATTTTATGGTCAACAAGAATTATTACCAAGATTCATAGATATTTGCGAAAAGTTAGTGAATAAATTTTATAGATTAGAGGATGAAAATGACTTCCAGAACGAATATCTTATGAGTAGTATTTTAGCGAAAATTAAAGGTAATGCAGCTTTAAATATAAGTAGCAATATTATAAAAAATTGGACAGACTTGAAAACTGCACTTTTAAATACATATCAAGACAAGCGTGACGTATTTACTCTAAATATAGAATTGTGTGAATTGAAACAGAACAATGAAACCCCCTTTGAATTTTATAACAAAGTTCAGAGTTTATTGAATTTACAAATATCATTTTTAACTACACATTGTGTGAGTGAAGAAGCTCAGATAATATGTAATTTTTGCAAAAGCGTAGCATTAAGAGTATTTCTAAAAGGTTTAAAGGAACCTCTAGGATCGCTCATGAGGACGAAAAATCCTTCAGTCTTGAATGAAGCTCTGAATATATTAACTAACGACTTTCAGCTTGATCATAAGGTAGATAAACATAAAAATGTTAATCGAAATAATATGCATATGGCGAACTACCATATGAACAACAACTTTGGTAATTATAGGAATCAATACCAAGCGGTACAGCGTCCAGTATTACAAAGACAATTTAGTCCTAATAATGTACGACCAAATAATCCTAATCAGAATAGAACGAATTTTCACAATAATAACGTTTTTAGACCTAATCAGATCAATAATCTGCCAAGGCCTACTCCGATGAGTACATCCACTAGACAGACGTATCAGCAACCAAATTTTCAAGGTAGAAATTTTAACAGACCTGGTGTAAACGCAGAACAGGCTATGTTTAACTTATGTGCACAAGACCAACCTGTTGTAGAATTTCCAAATGATGACAATTATGAATGCGCTTATTCTCAGAATAATTCTGACAATTTTTTAGGGCAAGAAGCCTCGGAACAGAGACAACCACAAGTCTCAAAGGACCACCAAAGTCAATTGAAATTATGAGTTTAACCGACAAATGTAGCAAACTACCATACATTGTATTTCCGGAGTATAATCTCAAAGTATTGATTGACACTGGAAGTACAAAATCTTTCATACACCCTGAAATTGCGAAAAAATTATTTTCAAGACATATTCAAAAAGACCCATTTCAAATCACTTCAGCACATGGTTCATCTATCGAACAATATAGTATGACAATACCTTGTCCAAAGATTTTTAAGAATCCAAATATTCTCATGAAATTTCATTTATTCAAGTTTCACGAACATTTCCAATGCCTTTTAGGACTCGATAACCTGAAAGAGATATTGAATGCCAACATTGATTTGAGCAATGATCTTTTAGTCACACCCACAACAAGGATACCCATGCAATATCACGAGATTACAAAAAATTCTTCTAATGTTATCACTATTCCACCTAGAACAGAACAGATAATTAAGGTTAACATAAAAAATTTAAAAAATGGTAATGCTATTATTCCATACAGAAAATTATCATGTTTAGAAATCCCTGAATGTCTTACTACAGTGAAAAATCACGAAGCGATTTGCACAGTATTAAATTTATCTGAAGAACAGATTTCTCTTGACATATCTCGACCAATAGATGTAGAAAATTTTGAAAATTACGAAGTTTCAGAAAATTCTGATCCACCGAATATTAATTCTTTGAACTTTCAAAAATATAAATTTGATATTTCCAAAATTAGGACAGAGCATATGAACTCTGAAGAAAAAGACGCAATCACCAAGTTAGTAAGAGAGTATTCAGACATATTTCACATTGATGGTAATTACTTAACTTTTACGAGCAAAATTAAGCATCATATACGTACAAGCGATGAAATACCCATTTACACGAAATCATACAGATATCCTGAAATCCACCGAAAAGAGGTACAAAGACAAATACAATCAATGCTTGATCAAAAAATTATTAGAGAGAGCCATTCAGCGTGGTGCTCACCTATATGGATTGTTCCAAAAAAAATAGACGCATCGGGAAAGCAAAAATGGAGAATAGTCATTGATTATAGAAAATTGAATGAAAAAACATTGGGAGATCGTTATCCTCTTCCAAACATAACAGATTTGTTAGATAAATTAGGGCGATGCCA